TACTCGTACAGGTATCTTGCCTCTCGTTGACGCGACTTCTGGTAGCTCAGTATTCCTGATACCTATGCCTTGCTACCGGCCTATGCGGCCCTACTGCCTAATGTACTTTTTCGCAGCTACAATGGCAAGAGTGACTACAAGAGAGAACTCCTGAAAATTTACACCCACCATGGGTTTTGTTGTCTGGTTAGTACAAGTAATTGAAGACTCACAAGCGCAGGAACATCAGCGGTATGATACCTTAGCCGGTGCGATGGGGTAACTTTGCCTTGAAGTTTGCCAGAGCGTTGCACTAAGGGCTAGTGCTGTGTGGCCAGAAGTGTGAAACCCGATTTCGCGGTAGGAGAAAAATGTGCTATCACAGGCCGTTGTATTTGCCTCTCCTGGTACAGTGGTGTGGAGGGGTGGGTTTTGCAAGGTTTTTCCATCACGTAGCCGAGAAGGAGGATTCCAACCGCCTAATAAACTTGCCACTTGTACTGTGGGTACCCCAGGGCAGCGCAGAAGGGATGTGATGGTGAACCCCGGATGTTCTACTAGCAACATATTAGTACTGAAGAAATTCCCTCTGCCCTTCTACTGAATACTGGAGCAAGGTCTTCTCTGAATTCCCTTTGGGCGGGGAGCCTTCGGGCACGGTTCCAATTTTTAAGTGCGTATAATATTCTTAATCCTTGTGTTTGTGAAGGAAGACCCGGGGCTAGGGCAGAGGTCACAAAGGGTGGAAGGATAACCCAACCGAGTTCACAGATACGGATAGAATTATCGCTTACTCCCGGGAGTAAGCGATACTCTACTTCTTTACCCCCCCCCAAAATGAGTTGGCGGCAACAGATTACGTAAATAGAATTATCGCTTACTCCCGAAGAAGCGATAGGCGTTTCTTTACCTCTCCTTCAACAAACAGCCGTATAACAACGCGACATGAACTCAATAGTCTAATTGCTAAAAGGACCCCGCGAACAACCCACCGAGATACCTTACCAACGAAAAGTACCGCTGTCTCGACCACGGAGATCCATCCCACACCGGAGCTAACAAAGGACTCGGGTAACTCAGTTGCAGAGGCCACCTCAGGTTCTACCGCTCTCGGGTTGTGTCCCCACCATGAATGGGAGGAGGAATTCTACACCTCGAAGGATGGTTCCAGTGGCTCTAGCCTCGGATTACGATGAAAACTCGAACAATTGGATAATATATCATACTATGGGATCCAAAGTTCCCTTCTACGGAATCAGGGCGGAAAACACTGCAAAAGTACCATCCCTTTCCTCCTTCCGGCACAGAAAAATGAAGATGGAAACAGTTCACAATACCAAGAGAGGAAAGCTCGACAACATAGCACATTGTTCAATCGTTCAGGTTTCTACTGCATCCTAAATTCTTTGAGCGCGCGCGGGTTTTCGAACTTGTATTAATAATTTCTGGTGTTCTTTTTCCCCTCCGTACAATATTAGTAGAACTACTGATATCACTTCCAAGCACCAAAGCTAGCTTTTCTTTGGGGCAGTGAATGTGGGCACCAGTTACTGGGGATGGCGCCATATATTTTCTCAAGCGGCCAACTCAACCGCTTCTGTTTGAGACAATCTTTCCGGCCGGATAGAGCAGTGAATTCTCCCTGCGATACGGGGAGAAATGATTTTATCCGTATGCTGAAATACCGTTGTCAATTTCATAACCACCTCTCTGTTGGTTGTTAGGGTTTTGTCAATAACTACCGTCATACTTCTGTTTCTTCCAGATACAGTGCATCTACTAACATTAAACATCTGAAACACCGTCGCTACCTAGTCATAATCTATCACTCGCCGGATGATCGGTGATCCCTTGGGTGAAGAGCACTAAAAAATGCGCACCCATTTCAACAACCCCCGCCTTGAAGCGAATCATGGACCACCACGTCATTGTCATAGCCTTGCTGTGCGAAATTATTAAAAGGAAGTATGAATACAAGCTAAGCGAAAACCTACAGGGACGTACTGCCGGAACTAATGGATGGAAGCCTGTGAATGAAAATTGTGGCAGAAATAGCCTCTGAATTTACCTCTCTCTCTCTCCCCTTGCCCATCAACACGAAAATCCGGCCGGAATAAAGTTCTCTCCGCGGCGATTGAGAACAAACCGGGGAGGAAAGTTGTACGCAGTAAACACGTTGACGGGAAAAGCTGGGGCAACAGATAGGTCCACTTCGAACCAGAGGCGAAGTGCGGCCACGGGTCGAGGAACGACCCAGCTCATATTGTAAAACTGGGGAAGCGGTTTTTTGCTTGCCAAACTTAGCCCACGAGAACCAAAAGAAGTGACCCAATATGGGAAACGCTACTAACTAGATATCCTAGGAACAGGTATGCATGGATGGTGCCTATCTGAGAGGGCTGTCTGGCCCAGCATCTCGAACTTCACAGCTTTATGGAAAGCCGCGGAGACCCCCTGGCTGCGGTCGACTCCGTTTCCTAGGGGTTGTGAAGGCAGGTCGCAAAATTCTCCTGCGACTTGGCAGTCCCCATAGCCACCGGCTCTCCCACAAGCTTGCCAAGGTGTGATTGGACTGGCGACATAGGATGCGCTGGTTAGCTTACTGTGGCCTTGGTTAGTACTGTTAAGACAGACTATGGCTGGGCCTAGTGTTTCGGCGTCATCACCAGAAATCATTGGTGTTTGGAAATCTATCACATCCGCTGGGAGTGGGTAGTAGAAGTGGGGGTTAGTGGTGATCAAACATGTGGTGTTGGATCTGGAACAGTCTAGTGTTAGATACTATTCGTGATACTTGATCTGTTTCTGTTTTGTTTGAAGAGTCAGGATTGCGGTGGATTTCTTACTTTTCATTGTTTTATCTTTTGCATTCCTTTCTCATCGTTTTCTCTCCAACCCTCCATAAAAGACTCTGTATGTCGCCATTCTTTTCCTATGAGTTCTCTATCAGACCTATTTGTTCCTTTCCTTGTTAGATGTTATCAATCTCTACTCATTCTTTTGTCACACTCTCTGTTGCTCTTGAATAGAAGTGAATATACCGGCATTGATACGCTTGTCCTATATACTTCACAAGTACGGCCACACTACAGCTAAAAAAAAAAAAAAGAATGATAACTCTGCGCCCACCCTACAATTGACCCGCCATACCCTTGATAACTCCCACCAAAATATGCCCCCGAGTGCTAGTACCTGGAGCGCTCCGGTTTTCGTAAATCGAACTACCGCTGAATGCAGCAGCAGAAGTCGCCTAGAGCAACAAAATCCCGGCAGCACGCGACAGCAACCAGTGTTGGAAATGTCTTCACATTAGGGGTAGCCGGTGATCTGGAATCATTATCTTACCGGGCACACTACCGATTGGCCTGGGAACCCGCTGCTATGGAATCCAATACATTTCCCCCTTCCTTCCTATTTCTTTTTTCTCTCAAAACCCCTATATCTGGTGGGATTGCCATATGCGCGGGAGAAACGGGGCACCGGGAACGCAGCACACGGTCACTAGTTGTTGTTTACATTATCGTACTATTCCAATCACCTATGCCCCCCGCTTGTGATACAAATATTATGATCCCGCAGGTTTACCGGCGCCCCGTCCTCCGGTATGCACGGCCCCGGTGCCTTCTTGCCCGTCCCATTAATGTTCTCCCCTCTATGATACATCTGTGAAAATCAGATATTTGAACCAAGTGCCCAGATAGATTCATGTCCGATCACTCGGTGAGACGGGCTGCAGGGTATTGTGAAAGTACTGTGAGGAGTTTTTTGCACGGCAAAGAAGATTGTGTGATAGAGAACGATGAATGCTTAATTGTCTTGAAAGGAAGAGCGAGCAGCTCTTACTATCTACTATTGTGAGGGAAACAATAAGGTTGAGCGGACAGTAACAAGAAATGTAAGGAGGTATCTTCAATAGTACCGGAGGCCTGGATGTGTGCCTGGGGTACGAATTGATGCAAGGAGAAAAGTAATAGTCTGAACGATGCCACAATATCCGTTACTGGTAGTGTCAGAAGCCATGTTTCAACACAGGGCGTCGTTCGTACGATGGATTTCGGTGGTCTACAATATGATGGTATATAGTACAGCAACTTACAGTAGCCATACTGGACGCTGTTAGCTCAGCTGGTGGAAAAAATATAGGTTTTAGTCGCGGTGGTGGTGGAAGGGTTTGGAGGGTTTGTGCATGGAGGGTCGTCTGAAATGGGCAAAAAGTGGAATGAGACTATCTTATGTATTACTGAGCACATTCCCGTCTATGGGGGTCTGTATTTGCACCGTTTTCTGGGTGACATTGTTTGAAGGGGTGGGGAAAATACGAATTTAGGTTTGTAAATAGGGAATCAGCCCCCTACGTTTCGGACCAAAAGACGCGAGCACGATACTAAGCATCAAATAGTTTTGTGCGAGATACAGTCTTGAGGGCTTGTACCTTGGGGCCGTGGTTTAGGATAGGGTACCGGTGGGTCTTCCTTCGATGTGAATGGAAGCAAGCAACGCGTTGGACAAATTCCCATCATTCCCGGTCTGAAGTGCTTTAAATTTTAAATCACAACTCCATCCCTATGCACTAGTAGTGTGAAATGGTATAAGAAAGGTGATGGGCACGAGCCAAGTGAAACCATTAAGGGGATATACCCCTCTAGATTACTGATGTGGTGGAATCTTTGAAGGGAAACTGCTATAGCGATAGTGTTAAGCATAATCTCTCGTCCCCGCCTACAGATATGAGAAAAAGGGAAAATCTAGCCCAAACAATAGCCTTTCGGGAATGACAGGAAAGAAACGAAAACGATCAAGAGAGCTGAATGGGTAAGATCCTCCAAATGGTAGTGAAATAGGAAAATGGATAAATCCGGTTTAAGCCAGAGGTGAAGCGCAGTCGCAAGTAGAGAAAAGTCCCGGTATGCAAGGTGTAGCTGGGCGAAAGTTGTTTTTTCTGTACTCGAGTACAGGGTTAGATCCGGTAAAACAGGAGGAAGTGGGCTATATATGGGGCGCATTACCAACTAGGTATCCTAGGCACTAGTGTGCATGAACGGGGCCCATACAAGAGGGCAGCCCGGGCTACGATCTCGAACTTTCTTCACAGCTTTGTAAAAAGCGGTAGAGACCCGCTGGTGGTCGTCTCCTCCGTTTCCTCGATTTTGGAACAGTAGGTCGTAGAAGTCTCTCGCAACTTCACAGGCAGCATAATCGTTGGTTTCCCACATGTTTGCGAATGTATGGCTGAACCCGGCGAGCTGAAATGCGCTAGCTAGGTGTATGACTTCGTCGGCTAACTCAACGGAGGGGTTTTTGGCCGAGGAGCAGGCGGAAAGGTAAGCAATCTGTGCATTTTGCGCAACCAATTTCGATATATCTCGAGCCAGGAGTCTATCAGTCTTATTACCGTCCTGGCTGAACAGGACCAGATGGTTGTCTGAAGGGTTGAATTCAGACACTCCGTGGCAGGCGAAATGTACGATGCCATGGTGCTGAACTTGCTTGAGGACTTTGGCCGGGGTTGGAGTTCTCAATACTGTGGGCTCGATAGAGCTTTTAGCTGCCGAAGAAAGTATATATCGAACTTCCGTATGGACACCTGGTAGGCTTGGAGCGCCGGGGGTATTTGACATGGGAACGAGAAGTAAACGGAGATTCCGTTTTATTGGAGTTCTGGATTTCTTGGAGTGCTCCGTTGAAAATGAAGAACCATATTTGTCAAAAAGCTGAAGCTGTGTTTGGCGTGCATAGGAAAGGGCTTTGATTGTAGGGATATATGTTGAAATGGCCCGACTTAAAGTGTTACGGGTTGACCCACGCGAGTGGTCCCCAGCTGCATGGAGGGGTGCCATACCTAATTGCCCTACCCCAATCCACCAAATCCGCTTCAAATCGTTGTCATGAGCACCACCACTGATAAGGATGCCCCTACTTTCAAGGTAGTCAAAAACGGGCCCGACAGCCGCATCCCATAACCAAACGAGGAGGTCTTTCATCACTTTGTTTTCCCGGGCCCACTCCAACAACCCTCCTTGCCCGAAGCTTGCCAATTGCCTCATCCAGTGGCCAGTTTCTTCGTACTTTAATTTCGGAAGTTCTAATGAAGCTATCGCTGAGGTGGTAGCGATTATGGCATCGCTCCTATAAACAGTGCTGTTGAATACAACTATGGGGCCATTTGCGGCCATGTTCATCAGAGCCTCCCGAGAAGGTGGAAGCAGGAATTCGCCATAGCCTGGTAAACTTCGGATGTGTTTTAGAATTTCTTCCATCTCATTGACAGCATCCCAACGTCTGGATATAACACGGTTTTGATATTGATCGGGCGTTTCACCATTTGTACGGCTCATTCCATCCATTGGCGAGTCAATCTCAATTCGAAGGCGGTGAAATTTTTCGAATTCAGGCGGGTGGTCAGTTTTAAGATCCGAAACATCAGATCTTGAGTCCATTGAAAAGCCCATAATTATTCCACGACCAAGCTCTAGTAACTTGAGACTGTCATAAGCTTCTCTACCAGCCTGAAGTGCCACAGAGGCAGAAATCGACGCTATCCCGGAAAGTTCCGACAGTATGTGCTGCTGGTCATCTCGTCTTAGAAATCGTAGACCAATACTTGGCATCAAGTTAACCGCATCCTCGAGTATGGAAATTGATTCATGAACCTTTCCAGCGGAAAATAATAGAGAACCTGCTCTGCGAGCCGCCTTAACCCGCTCCCTAGGCGGTGAAGTGCGGAATTCATGGGCGTCGTGGTATAGGCGCAGGCTTTTGTTTAAGTCTTCAGCGGAGTGTAACCTTTTGAACCTTGATTCTAATAGTATACCTAGGAGGGTATACCCTGTTGCACGCTTAGGGTGATCTTTAGGAGTAGCGGCAAGTGCCTCTTCGAGGTGCTCAATAGCTTTTTGGAGGTCTCCAAGGTCTCCTATCTGCCCGAACCTCACAAAAAGCATGTTCCCTAGGTTACTGTGCCGGTCTGCTCGCTCAGGGTGATTATTGGGGGTAGCACCTAGTGCCTCTTTGCAGTGCTTGATGGCTTTTTGGAGGTCTCTAAGGTCTCCTATCTGTTCGAAGCTCTCAAAGAGCCTAATTCCGAGGTTATTTTGTCTACCCGCTCGATCGGGGTGATTTAGGGGGGGAGCAGATAATCCCTTTTCGCAGTGCTTAATAGCTTTTCGGAGGTCTCTAATGTCTCCTGTCCGCCTAAACCATATAGAGAGTATGTTCCCTAGGTTGCTGTGTCTACCTGCTCGATCGGGGTGGTCTTCGGTATTGCAAATCACCGGTACTCCAAGTACTAGTTTTTCTCCTGTGCATCACATTTAGTGGTCCGGAGATATTTCCGGAGGTGTTGCAGATTTGTAATGCTTAGAAGCAAGTTAATAAGCAAGATGGAAGGTTCGAGGGGATATTTTTCTGATGGGGAGATTCTGGACTGGCATTATGGAACAAGGAATGTGTGCCCATGAGGAGGCATGGGAGAAAGTGATTGGTTAGGAAAGCGGGGTAGAAGGGAGTCTTTGGAAACCGGAAGAATAAAAAAGAAAGGAGTATGTGTATGACAAAGGAAAGTGGTCTGGAAGGAAGAAGCTATCTTATGGATGTATATAAAGCTGAGGGTTTACCGGAGAACTGTATGGTGTAAGGTAGCGAAGAACAGAAGTCATCAGAGGGAAAGTCAGAATTGAGTTCAGCCGGTCAGAAAGACGAAAGCTTCCAGTGCGCAGAAGATACCAAATACGATCTTTATTTTCATTATTCGGGAGTGGCGGCTAGTGACTCTTTGGCGTGCGTGATCGATTTCTTAAGGTCTCCAAGGTCTCCTATCTGCTGAAATCTGCTTAGGAATATGCTTCCTAGGTTATAGTGCAGGATCGCTCGCTCGCGGTAATCGTGAGGGGCTGCAGCTAGCGCCTCTTCAGTGTGCTTAATGGCTTCTTGGAGGTCTCCAAAGTCTCCTATTCGCTCAAACCTCTTAGACAACCAGGTTCCCAGGTTACTGTGTATACCCGCCCGCTTGGGGTGATCTTGAGGGATAGCAGCTAGTGCCTCTTCGCTGTGATTGATCGCTTTCTGGAGGTCCCCAAGGTCCCCCATCTGCTCAAACCTTCTGAGGTACATTGCACCCAGGTTACTCTGTGTAATTGCTCGATCGGGATGATCTACATAGGTCGCATCTAGTGCCTCTTCGGTGTGCTTAATGGCTTGTTGCAGGTCTCCAAGGTTTCCTGTCTGCTCAAACTTTCTGCATAATACAGTCCCAAGGTTTGCAAGTGCCCTTGTACGGACCTGGTCCCCAGTGCGGGTCCTTCTCATTATTTCCTCGTGAATACCGGTAGCCGATTCCATATCCTTTGAGTCACCAAGCCGCTCAAATCTTTCCATCAAGAAAGCGCTCCGGGTACCTAACATACCCATCCATGCGGGGCTCCCTTCAGGATACTCTTCGATCGCCCGCTCCCTTCAGGATACTCTTCGATCGCCCGCTCCACTAGAATAATTGCCTTGTTGAGGTCGGCTAAGCTACCTAGCCGCTGATATCTTCTGTACGAATCCTCGCCCGGGAATCTGTGCTGGTTTTGGCCACTCTCTAGTCGACGCCGTATATTGAGGATACTGCTGCAGGCAGTTGCATAGTTGATCACTCTCCGTCGTGACATCTCCGTTCCCTCCATTTCCCACGCCCATGCTATGTCGAGATCTCCTTCATCTTGTGTATGCTGAAATTTGTTCCCAAACATTTGGCTCAGCCTGTCCCACAAAATTGCTCGGTTGGGGTGTCGGGGGTTCGTTTTTGTGATTGCGCTTTCAGCCGGTGCGATTGCTTGATTGAGGAAGTCTATGTCGAGGGTTTTCTCGTATTGAGCAAAGAGAACATCACTCGCTTCCATCGTGTCACGCAGATCTTCCTGCCACATAGATACTCCTAGATCTCGACCCGATGTGCCACTCCTAGAACCCCCCGCATGCCTTGCGCCTGATGTCTCTAACATCTTATGTCCCCAAATTGCGATGGAATCCGGAATCTTCCCCCGGGTTTTGTCGCTTTCTCTGCAGTGTAGCAAATTGCCGTTCGAGGTTCTAGTAGGTACGGCGTGTGTGTGATTGAGCGGTGCTGTCTGGGACGAGACCTAATAATTAACTAACTTAGGTTTCAATTAGCATAACCCAGGAGAGAGATTCAGTTCTCTCAATACCAATATCGCTGGTAAAGCACTTAGGATCCCCAATACCTCATCATATACAGGTATTCCTAATTCCGAGGTTCCACCGGCAAACTCCCTCGTGCTAAGCGCACCCTCTCCCTTTCGTACTCGTCCCCGATCGTTCGGTTTAAGGTCGTATCCCCGAACTCAAGGGTGTAGGGGCTTTTACGCGAGCAAGGCACAAGATCAGTGAATGGCTTTCCGAGTAGGGTTCTTTAGCATTAATCTTACCTGTTCTGGCCGCGTGTTATTTCTGTTGCTCAGCTTTCTTTGCTTCTTTTTATTTTGTCCGCTTTGAAGTAAATTTAGGGCTGGCGGAGAAATAGTTGTATGATGTTGTAGTTTGGAGTTCGGCGCGAGCTAGTGCGCGATATGGTATGTGGCTCCCGGACGCTTCACATATAATAGTGGGGATGCTGAAATATCACAACGTATTGCGTGCTCCGCTCCACTAGTTTATTATTTTGAAATTAACAACCGAGTCAGGCTTGAGGTACGGGCAGTGCTTATCTCCTTGTGCCTCCGCAGCACATCTGTGTACAAGGGGGTATACGAGTGGCGGGGGTCTACTGATCGCACCTCGTGCGACCCAAATTGTGTACAGTAACGTATGTGACGGGGAAGCGGGACATGATGGGGAAGCGGGACACGATGGGGACACGAAAACCCAGTTATAAAAACAGCAACAACTCCATCAGTTCTCAACCAAATGGAATAAAACAAAATGGAATGAATGTACAGGGAGTACAAGAAGATGGCTATAAATGACAATTTGTGAAAAAATTAAAGCAATACTAATTGAAACCTATAAGACATGAAAAAGGACCTAATAAGATCAATATAAGAAACAAGAAAAAATAAAAACTTTAGATTGCATAAAACTATCCAGAAAGAGATGGTGGATAGCCCTCTACTGGCAGCAGTAGAGAGAGGAATTATATCTGAATTTGGTAGAGTTTATGAGGTAGTAGAGTAGGTAAACTATAGTAGAATCTGAGAGCATTAAAGTAACTCTAAAAACATAGGTGTTTTAGGAATAATAAAGGATAAGACAAGAATCAAAGTTAATATTATAAAAGTTCTATAAAATATAAATGGTCCTGGGGCTGAGATTTGTATACTGAGAACTGTGTTCTGCTTCTGGTATGTATTATATTACATTTTTCTTTCTACTTACTATATAAATTGCAATGTTCTTATATTCTAGGTAATCAACCTGAAACCTATTTAGTTTTTGGAGCCATATGGATCAGGATTAGGTGAAGCTCATTTCTCTTATTTGTTATAAAAATACCTTATTTACGGTGAATATTACAGGCCTCTTCTATAATTTTAGCTTTTGTCTAAAATTTGGATTTAAAATCTGCAATATAAGGAATTATCTTAGCTAGAGAATGATTTGAATTGCAATATATATTTTCTTTATATAATAGTACATTTTTAGGTTAACTGAAATAGTAAAGTATGATTAATTGTAGTAATAAGAATATTTTATATAGAAATAGTAGCAAGTTGAAACAGATTGTAAATTATATGCAAAGAATAGAAAACAGGCCTACAAGTCTAATATCTAGTGAGTATATGATCCACATTAATAGATTATCTATTTGAAAGTACTAGAACTCTCTCCCATAAACTTTTGTCCTTAATAATGAGAAAAGTTTCAATTCTTAAATCAAGATAATTGTATAACTGATCAAGGAAGAAATAATGAGAAACAGAAATAAATAGATGGAATAAACAAGAGAGAAATTGAGAAACAGCATTGTTTTTGATATAGAATATAGGAAAATTGAAGTTCATATAGCTGTAGCAAGTAACTACTTCTAAATAGATACAAAAGAAAGAATATAAATCTAATAAAATAAATACTAGTAAAACTGCATAAATTCAAGCAGGAAACACTAAATTATACCCATCTGAATTCCAGAAGAATACAGAACTTGAGCCAACTCCACCTTACTGACTATCTATCTTGCCTTGTTCTTATTCTCTCCTAAAAGTATTACTATTACTAGTAGCTATAATTTAATCAAATTCTGCTCTACCTTACTTACTCTACTATATTATCAACTTTACCAAGTCTAAATGCTATCCCCCTTAGTACTACTACTAATTGAGGGCTATCAGCCACCCCCTTCTGGATGGTTTTATGCAATCCAAAGTCTTTGTTTTTCCCCTTTTCTTACATTACCTTTATTGTGTCATTTTTCACCTTTTATGGGTTTTATTTAGTATTCCTTTTATTCTTTTACTAATTTCTACTATCAGATACCTTCTCATACTCTTTGAGCATTTATTCCATTTTGTTTTATTCAATTTGGTTCAGAACTGATGAAGTTGCTGCTACTTTTATAACTTGGTTGTCCTGTCCCGCTTCCCGATCGTGTCCCGCTTCCCCATCGGGTACGTTACTGTGCTCCTAGCCCGGCCCCGTTCACTATTTTAGAGACTGTTGTGCACTGCCGGCGGAGGTTAACCTACTATGAATGACCCATCCTCGCGTGCTCTGTTCCGCATCTCGAGTATGCACTTCTAAAGGAACCCGATCTAAGGGGCCCTTTTGCTCTGGGACCCTATGAGTATCCAGCGCCGCAGCGGCAGCACAGTTGGTCTTGGATATTCCTGACAGATAGCTGCTCCTCCCATGCGGTTTAGCCACTTGACTTGGCTTTTCGTACCTACCAGAGGAAACGATAGGTACGGCTGTAATAGAAAAGAAGCCCGGCGATTTTTCATCCGTCGAGGTTCTCCCTGTTTAGTTAATCCGGAGGATTGGAGACACTTGTTAAGGCACGTCTACCGGCACTATGGTCAGCTCAGATTTTCCTTGGCGCACAGCAGCCTTGTGCAACGCCCATACCAGGAGTCGAGTCTAGCACCCCACCCTAGGTGGCCCGTGATGCAATGACACATTCCGGAAGGTAATGCACTTGTACAGTGCAGCCGAGCATTCCAGGAGGTCACGATGGAACCAACTACCTCTGCTATCAGACCACATTTGTGTGATTAAGGAATTCCCTCCAGCTCTCCTGTGCATACCGGTATTTTCATAATGTCTTCACCGAATTCGGGTTGGATGGATTGTCTGTGGGGTGCGGTGGTTGTGTTTGATCTAATCTTACGTGAAAACTCTTGGCATTGAGGCTCAAGATAACCCCTCGCTCGGGTAGATCCTGGCATGGGGATTGGGGATCGAGGAATTTTGTGGTGGCACAGTACTCGTACCCGTTTGTGGCTAGCGGGATAATTTACCGCCGGCAAAGGTTGCGGGAGAAACACAGCTTCGCACAGCGCAAGAGCAATGGGGAACCTGACAAGTTGCATGGGTGTCAACGAGTGGATTCGCTTTCACCAAACCCGAATTTTCATGATTACGAAGCGAGAAGGGCTTCCGAGAGCTTAACGTAATCTACGGAGACGGTCCGTATTTGATTTAATAGGGTTTATGGGCAGCGATGTGGATACTCTTAGTCGATAATTGGTGGATGATAAAAGAATACTTCTTAAGAGACAGACAAAAGCTTTTCAGAAAAAGGAATGTAATAGAATAAGAGACGAATCCAGAGAGATAGGAAAAATAGCTACTGAATACAGAGATGCGAAAATCAACAACTTGCTTCAAGAAAAACTCATATACAGAAAACAAATACAGCCCTCTTTATGTGCCTCCACTCCTTCAGCATACTTCCAGCATATGCCGAATCCTTTACCCAGTTCTGAGGCAGTGAGCTTTCACAACCGTAATATTTCTAACTTGTATATTGAGGCTCGGAGGTGTGTATGATAAGCTGCGGTTATGGGGTGTCATCTCACAGGAGCTCTTTGTGCTCTTGGCTGGTGGACTGGTATAGGGATAGGAGATGCTGCGGTTATTCTGATGGCCTCAAACATCTCCTTTGTACGATACGATTCTGGAGGTAGGGGGTGCCATAGTCCTGTTTGATATTGTTGCAAGTCGAGTAAGAGGCTAAGATGGTGTGACAAAGAGCTGAGGGGAACTTTGGTCTGGATTGGTATTTGTATAAGTGTGTGTGTGTATGACTGTGGTGCTTGTCAACTTTGGGGATGGAGTGTTTCTAGTCAGTTGCTAGTACCAAGTGGGAGAGTGCTGATATGTGTTGAGCAGCATGAGATGCCAGTGTGATGCCAGTAACATCTCAAATCCAACAGTCTGTATCTGAACCAGTTTTTAACGGCCACCTTTTTGTTGAATTTTCTAACTCATTTCATGTGTATATTCTCCTTGATAATATCGTATATTCCTCTACTTAGTATTATTTTTAAATTATGAACATTACTACAAGTGGAGTATGTATTATATATTTTTCATTGATATTTCAAGTTCATGATAGTACGATTAGGAGATTATTATGTGTTTTCTTATCTGGTGTTCAGATTTATTTTTACATTTTATGCATCATCATGCATGGTCATCCGTCATTTAATTTACAATTATGTTCTAATTATCCACTCACACCACTTCAGATTTATACATGTTTTATGGGATTTCTCTTGGCAGTTCTTCAAGGTCAAACACATTTGCACTTATGTTTTTCCTATATTTCCTCTTAGTTATATGAAGGATGTGCACCTGTATAAATAGGCATTACCACCATCTCACTTAAGAGAGTTAAGGACAAGAATTACTACCAATCTACCATCATACAAAACTCCTCCTCACCTAGTGTGCCTGTAGTATACTCTTTCTACCACATCATAACTTCATACATAGTTATTAAGATCGTACCGTACCATACACATTTAAACACTTCTTGCTTGGGATATCTTGTTGTGAGGTAGGGTGTTTTCCATCCCCTCCGGGCTTTTTTGTAACCAAGTTATCATACCATACCAGAACTCATCATTTTCCATGGCTCCTAAGCGATCGTCCACTGCCCTGCGTGACCTTACTAACTGGCCTCCCCCATCGGGTAAACCCACCCCGAGTACTGTACATCTTGGCTCTTGGATGGCGGTATGATTACTGGTTCTCAGTGCGTGGCTCTCGAAGAACCCAGGCAGAGCGACGGGAGGGGTTCTTCAGGGTGGGAACATCCTGCAGGCGGCCTCCCACTGCTTACTCCGTAGAAATGAGCAAGTGCACAAGGCAACAAGCCCGAACGCGTAATCCGTCCAAGCGAGGAAACCTTTTCTTCGTTTCTACTCGTACAACCAATCTCCATGTCCCGTAAGATTTTTCTTTGGCTGCGGTACTGAGAAATCTTGGGAGGCCTGGCCACGCTAAACCGAACCCTTCTCTTCCTCACAACCAATTTCTCATCAGGTACTGGTCAATACACACCATTGATTGATGGCCCATGCAAGCCATAAACCATCACATGGTACTCGAGTACTGTGCCCCACCTCACTGTGCGCTTTACTGTGCCCCGCAATTGGTGAACTTAACCCTCGGCCCACGCTCCCGCGAGTGACTACCTCAGACGTGCAGATAAGCATGCAGATTCTTGCCGAGCTACAGTAAATAGCGAGCAAGTTTGCGCTCCGAGAAAAAGCCCCTATTATCCGCTGCGATCAATCCGGTACCCCAACCAACCCCACTCATCTCCAAGTGCAGGTCATACCTTCTGGCTCTGGCGTGATACAGTTGGCGTAATAATGCGAAATATTGATAAGGGTTCTCGGGCCCACCGCCACCTTGGATACCGTACATGTACGAGCTTGGCGCAAAAAGTCATGAGTAGCGCAACCGTACCACAGAATATCTTCAAGCACTCCGCGATGTTATCAACCCCACCACCTCAACCCGATCATCATGAATGGCCAACCCTATCGAGGACTAGAGTCCTGACAATGCTGGAAGTCGGTATCTCAGAAAGTGAGGCAGCTCAGCGTACAGGGGTTCCACAACAAACCATTAGTCGTTGGGCTCGGCAAGAGCTCCCATATGAGCGTCGGCAGAACACACGAACCGGACGACCACGCAAGCTCAACCAGCGCGATCTCCGACATTTAATTCGCATCCTGAGACGGAATTGGGAGGGAAGGAGACTCTCATGGGCGAAATTGGGACAGCAGGCTGGGTTGAAGGTGTCACCGCATACCATTCAGAGTACCCTTGCTATCGAAGGATATATCCGATGCAAAGCTTGCAAGAAGCCATTTATCGACCATGATATGCAAAAGGCAAGACTAGCCTACTCCATCGCACATTCTGACAAACCAACAGAATGGTGGTGCAAACACATCTATAGTGATGAGGTTACCTTTGATACCTCTCGCCGGGGGTCAGCATGGGTGACACGTCTTCCTTGGGAACGTTACCACGAGGATTGTATTCAGTATACTTTCAATAGTGGCCGAGCATCGGTTCCAGTGTGGGGTGCGATTGGATACAACTGGAAGTCAGAACTCGTGTTCCTTCATGGTACTGGACGTCGTAATGGTATCACCTCTACCGACTACCTCATGCAGGTGCTGCAGCCAATTGTTGTACCTGTATTCCACAATCAATTGGGATTCAATTCTACCGGTGGTGAATATATAGAAGATGCAGCACCATGGCATGGAACAAAGGTGGTTCTTGTTCAGCCAAAGAAAGAGTTGGGTATCCCACTTCACCAATGACCAACTTCATCACCAGACTTCAATCCAATAGAGAATGTATGGCGAATTCTCAAACAGTGTATTAAAGCAAGAAACCACTTCCCCGGAACCCATGCAGAGATGTGTCAGGCTGTGCAGCAGGAATGGGATAGGCTAGAACCCTCAGAATGGAATGGGCTTATTGATAGTATGTCAGACAGACTGAAGGAATGTCGTGACCATAATGGTTTACAGACTCGTTATTAATTGCTTAATCCTTTCTTCTTGCTCTTGTAACAAGTAACTGGTTTCTTTTGTTATTCTCATTGAGAATTTATATATTTTGTATACGGTACCTCCGTTCTACTCATGACTTTTTGCGCCAAGCTCGTACATCACTCGTACCGGCAATCCCCGGTGAGGTCCCTTGAACACTAATCCCGGTAAACGGAACAAATCAAAGGTGGTTTCCCAACAGCGCCATTGAATAGCTCTCAACACTTCGTCCTACAACTAGTTGGGGTGGGGTCGGCTAGGCATTTGGGTTGACTGCTGGTACCGGTATCGCTTGTGCTTCCAATTCCGGGGAATCTAGCCTCTTGACCTGGGGTAGAGGCTATAAACGGGCGGCGCAGATTTAAAGGTCGGTTATTCTGGTTTTATGGCTGCTTGTGGTGATAAAGATTTTAGGTACAACAGGGTATCCTTTCCTGGTAGCCCACTGAAAAAGCTGCCTATTATAGTTCCGGAACCTC